GCTGGGAAGTGCTGGGGGGGCTGGGGACAGGACAGGGACACGGCGGGGTCGTGTCCCACCTGCTCGTGGATGTAGCCGGGGCTCCTCTCCTGGCACTGCTCCCAGCCCAGCAGCTCGCCCGCCTGCAGGAGCCCGTCCCGGGCGCAGCACGCCCGCGGCCAGGGCGTCCCCGGGTGCAGCTCCTGGAAGCGGGAGCCATTCCCAAAGTCTTCGGGTCCTAAAACGCCACAACACGAGAACTGAAACAGAAGGGAAACGCCATCAACACGCTGTCAAAATGGGGAGGGGACGTCACTTGGGGAGGTGACAGAGGGAGGGGGAACAGCCCAGCATGGCGCGCGGTGTCTGTCTGGGGTCCACGAGCCCCTCGCCTGCATTCGGGATCACCCTCGGCAGGTCCTGCGGGTGCTCCACACCCCCCCACAGCCCACCAGGAGCCTCCCGGCTGCTCACCGTGACCATGAGGGTGTTCCAGGCGGTGGAGAAGACCTCGGCACCCTCGTCCCCGCGGTAGTTCCTCCGCAGCTCGGACAGGAAGAGCTCCGGCTGGATCTGCGCGGTCGGTGCCTCCGTGAGCACTGGGGGACCGGTACCAGGGACGGGGCCATGGGGGCTGCACACCCACCCCTGCCCAGCACCACGCTGGCCAGGGCGCCAGCTCTCTTCGAGGGGACATGGGGACCCACCCATGGGACCCACCCACCCCGGTTCGGGCTTGCGTCAGGGTGCTGGTGATGAAGGTGAGGGTGAGAAAGGACGTCCCCGCACCAGTCCCAGTCCCCCGGGGGACTTGGGGCCACGACCCACGGCATGACGCAGGGAGGAGAGGGGCTGGCCACGCCGCGCACGGCGTCAGGGCGTGGGGACAGTACCTGTTTCCAGTGCACCAGGAAGAGAGCAGCCCCAACGAGCTGCGTGACGAAGATGAGGCTCACGAGGATGAAGAACTGGAAGGCAGCGGGATGAAGGAGTCAGAGACCAGCCCAACCCCGTGGGCAGCTCGCTCCGGCTATTCCTCCCCTCCTCTGCCGCCAGCCCTGCCCGTGCCCTGTGCCCCTGAGACCAGGGGGACACAGGGGACGAGTGCGCAGCTCCTGGGGACAGATGCCACGTCTCCGAGCACCGTGGCTGCAAGGAGGAGGGATAAAAACAAGCACCAGCTGCCAGGGTCTGGGGGTGCCAAAGAAATCGGGGTGTCGGTGCTCAGAAAGGGGTTTCGAACCCTCACCATTGAGGGGAAAAGCTCGGAAATGCCGTGTGGGACAAGGCAGCGGCTTCAGAGAGAAGTGACCCCACTCAGTGGCTTTATAAAATCCTCTGGGCTCTAAATTCAAAGACTCACTGGACTGGGATGTGCGCTGAGGGCTGACGGGGCCGGGACGGGGAACACCGGGCTTCTGGCTCCTCCGAGGACGCCCTGCATCCCCCAACACCTTCCGTCCCCCGGCTCCCCACATCCCGCGAGCTCCTGCAGCCCGCAGCCCCCTGCCCGCCCGGCTCCCCGCATCCCGTGCCTTGCCTTCCCACCCGTCTCCCCTCACTCACCACCAGCAGCAGCGGCCGGCTCCGGCGCAGGGTCCCGCAGCACCCCAGGAAGCCCAGCAGCGAGAAGGGCGATGCCCACAGCCAGCAGCAGGTAAGCGCCCGCGCTCAACACGGGCTTGGCAGCCACGATGTCCTGGAAACCAGCCGGGTCCACGGCCACCCAGACCCCCACGCCCACCAGGCACGTCCCCGCGGCCTGTGGGACACGCTGCGGTTATGGGGCGCAGGGACCGGTCCCAGGCACCCCATGGGGACTGGGGATGCTCCAACCTCTGCTGGGGTCCCCTCCCTTGGAGTGGTGTCACCCACCCCCTGAGCTGGCCGGAGATATCACACCCCCGGGGACGGGTCCCCTCCATCCCTCCACCCCA